GGAACCCCAAAGCCAGAAAGACATGATGGCTAGGAGGTCAGAAGTACAGACACGAAGGGACGAATGCCATTAGCAGGAAAGTCAGTGTGCAGGCTGATCACTGTCACACAAACTACTCTCTGATTGAGCAGCTGGGTGCCATGCCCAGCACTTCCCGTGCCTCTCTGATGCCTTGTCTTAGGAAGCTACCATTGTTCCCACACTACAGATCAGGGATCCCCATCTCAGGGTCCACAGCTAGGACCAAGTCCAGAGCCTTAGCCTTTACCATCTTATGCCTCTCTGGAACCCTCACCGGGCCAATAGGGAAACTGAGGCCCAGAGAACTGTGGGCATTTTCCCAAATCAATCAGCCAAGAACCCAAGGGTCGGCATGCATGCCCTTTGCCCTGCTCCAAATGTCGGGACAGGACAGCCTGTCCTAACCCCTGCCTAGCCCAGCTGGGAGCCCCTGCAGATAATGTCCCCTCATCCTGTGTGGGCGAACATCTGGACCCCTCCTGCCTTCCCTAGGACTGGTGGGGGGCCAGGGTCAGGTGTCCCTTCCCGGCTCATGGCCGCGTTCCCACAGAGATGTACCAGTTCAGCATCCAGGAGTCGGCACCCATCGGTACAGCTGTGGGACGGGTGAAGGCCGAGGACTCAGATGTGGGTGAGAACACGGACATGACTTACCAGCTCAAGGACGAGAGTGGCGGCAGCGGCAGTGTATTCAAGGTCACCACAGACAGCGACACTCAGGAAGCCATCATCGTCGTGCAGAAGGTGCGGCTGCTTCCCGATGGGAGGGATGGATGGCGGTGGCCCGGGCAGCAGGGTCAGGGAGGCACCAAGAGATCCAAGGCTCTTACCTCCCTCCCCACAGGGATGAGCCATCTCCAGAGACCCAGGGCCGATCCAAGAAGGCACTGATGATACCATTCCCCTTGTCCAAGTGAGAAAAATGAGCACAGAAAGGTTGCTGTGACTTATTCCAGGTTGCACAGCTACTGTCAAAGCCACGGTTCAGTTCAGATTTGAAAGCAGGCTGTTCAGTGCTGTGAGGCGCTGTGTCAGCTCCATGCCAGGCCCTCCAAACATAATTTCCTTCAAACCTCACTTTTGCCTCTAAAAGAGAAGCCTTTATCCTCATGGTTACAGGTGGGAAAGCAGAGGGAGAGGGCCGTGCCCAAGATCTCACCTGTGAGGGGTAGAGTTTGGGTTTGTACCCAGGCGTGGTGAGTCTAAAGCACTTTACTGGCTAACAGCCCTCCTTACTCACCGGCTGACCCAGGAACCAGGAAGCTAAATCTGCAGATTCACCCGTTACTAAGAGTAGGGCATGGGAGTTCAAATAAGAAAGCAGGAGGTCACCTTCCGGGATTTGGCCAGGGGCTCGGGACTCTGGGCTGTGCAGGACTTTAAGACTCTCCACAAAAATGCACTTTCCTGCGGGAGGCTAAAAGCTCTTCTTTGGCCCATAGATTGTCACGGGCCCTTGTACACTCCCAGGTACAGAAGATCCACTGCCCGCTACTGTCCAGCTTCCAGTCCAGCTGTTCAGCCAGGATCTGCCTCCTTAAATCTGCTCTGACCAACCCAGGCTGTGCCTTTAGGACCTGAAGAGATGTCTGCCCTCAGTGGCCCTGTTTCCTGGAGGATGCTAACATGATGGCCAATTCTTTTTTTTTTTTCTTTTTTTGTACTGGGATCGAACTCAGGATTCCACACTTGCAAGGCAGGCGCTTATGCCACTGAGCTAAATCCCCAGCCCCAATCATGGCCAATTCTAAAGTGCTTACCACAGGCCAGGTGCTTTTCTGATGTTCCCCACATGTTCAGTCTCTATGCCAGCCTCACTGGTCCTCTCATTGTCCACCTCACAGATGAGAAGTGCAGGCCCTGAAAGGTTCAGTAACTTCTCCAGGGCCACACATGCCCAATAGGGTATGCCCCAGTAGTCCACTCTTCTAAGCATTGCATGCTTTTCAACCTTTTGCCCTCTGTACATGCTTAGTGTAAGATAAGCCCATTTCACAGATTTGGAATTAGAGGTCCAGAGAGCGCTGGCATTATAGAGCAGCAGAGTCAGGCCCCAAACCTGGCTTTGGGATTCCCACACCCAGAGAGCTGCTCTATCCTGGCTCCCCGCACCTGTCCCAGTAGCAGAGGTGTCTGTGGGCATCAAGGATGGTGCAGGGAACAGAGCCCCACCCGATTGATTTCCTGGTTCCAGAGTTTACTGGCCAGGCCCCCACCTGCCTTCCTGCACCCTCATTTCCCAGGCAATAGGATGGAGGAAGAGGGTGGCCTTTTGTACCGCTAGGAAAGGCAAGGTGGGCTTCTGAGAAGCATGGGGGGACCCTGTGCACAGAGGCACCATCTGTGGGTCTCTGGCCCACATAACTCCCCCATCATGCAAGCAGGCTGCCCACAGCGCCACTGCTGCAGTTCTGTGCTCTGAGCACTGTCTTTAGCTGGCCAGAGCCGATGCACAGCCAGGGAGCTCGTTCATCAGAGGTCACCCATCAGCACCTCCTGATGAGGAGCACAGCTCTGCGTGCATTCATCCCGGGCTCCAGGGAAGCAAGAGGCAGCCCAGCTCATCAGATGCGAGTCCCACGAGTCGCCACCTCCTGGGTGTCAGGGCAGACTTTCACTTATCCGCAAGGTCCCAGAGGCTAACCAGGATGCCAGCCACAGCTGGTCTGCAGCTGAGTGTGGATTAGAACCCAAGTCTGTGTTACTGAAGGTCCCATCCCTTCCTCCCCCAGTGTGAGAACCCAGGTTTGGGAGCCACACTGCCTGAGTTTGAATCACTGTGTTTGCTAGTGACTCTAGAGCAACTTATGCATTTACTCATGCATAAAATGAGATAATAATCCAAGCATCATAGGTGAAACCGAATTAATAAATTAAAGCCCTAACACATAGTAAGCACTTTGTGTTTGTTCAAAACAAATGATGAATGTCCCAACACATTACGCAGGAAAGCAGGAAGTCTGGGCGCTCAGACTTAGCTGGAGCCTCAGTTTCTCCACCTGTAGCTGGAAAGTGTTGGTCTGAGACTGCCAGCCAGTTCCAGGAGCAGCCTCAGTATGCTGAGCCCTCTGCCGAGCCCCTCTGTGACCTTAGGCCAGTCCTGTGTCTCAGTCCTCCTGACCATGCTTGTCCACCAAGCCCCGCAGCTGACCGGCCCTCTGCTCCCTCCCCAGAGCCTGGACTTTGAATCCCAGCCCGTGCACACCGTGGTCCTGGAGGCCCTCAACAAGTTCGTGGACCCCCGCTTCGCAGACCTGGGCACGTTCCGCGACCAGGCCATCGTGCGCGTGTCCGTGACGGACGTGGACGAGCCCCCCGAGTTCCAGCCGCCCTCCGGCCTCCTGGAGGTGCAGGAGGACGCGCAGGTGGGCTCCCTGGTCGGCGTGGTGACGGCGCGGGACCCCGACGCCGCCAACCGGCCCGTCCGGTGAGACCCCCGCCCGGGGCCGACGCCTGCTGCCTGCGACCCTGCCATGGCCCGAGACCCACTGCGGGCAGAGGGGGGAGGCGGCCGGGAGGGAGGAGAGGACCAGGGAGCCAGGAGCCGGAGGGAGACACTGAATCAGGGCCGGAGGGTCGCAAGGGCCGCTGGCCCGCCCCCCTGAGCGCCTCCAGCTAGCGTGTCCAGGCACAGCCTTCAGAACCCACCTCTGGACTTTCCAACAAACGGGAAAGCAAAAGCCCCCACTTTTCTAGCCATGCCCGTCTCCAGGATGACCCCTCCCTCCTCGGTCCCGCCCCTCCACCCCGAGCCTCCCCTGGCCCTCACCAGAGCCTGTCCACACCCAGGCTGCTGCTCTCTGTGCCTCCCAGGCCTCCAGGCCGCTGGGGTCAGGGCAGAGGCCCTCTGTTGCCTCCCTGCTTCTGTCCTGCTGCTCTGTCATCTGGAATCCGCAGAGGTGTTGTCTGTTTCTCTCTTGTCCTGGGACTGAACTCAGGGCCTTTGCACTGAGCTACTTCCCTGCCCGGCCCCACCTCTTTTTAAAAATTCTTTATTTTTTATTTTAAGGCAAGGGTAAGTTACCCAGATATGGTTTGAACTTTCAGTCCTCCTGCCTCAGCCTCCCTGAGTGCTGGGATTATAGGCATGCACCACCAGGCCTGGCTAAAGCTAGCCTGGTCCTGTTCTGTCTGATGTAAACCCTCCCGGGGCACCTTGATCTTGCATGGCCTGGCCTCCAGTTGACCTCTACACCCCCCACCTCCTCCCCATTCAAAGCTCCAACCCCTCCCTCTAATCCTAGCTCCCAAATCCACTACACCCACCTCCCCTCAGGGCCTGGGTGCCTGCTGGTCCTAAGAATGGTCTCATCTGCCATCCCCGAGCTTGGTCCTCTCACTGTCTTGGCTCAAAAGTCTCACTCTCGGCTCTCAAGGAGGCCTCCTTGGCCTTCCTAAGGTGCGCACCCCAACCCCGAGGGCCAGCCCTGACCCTCCTCCAGGCTGTACTTCTCCATGAGGGCAGGGACGCACCCTGATCTGTCCTCACTGTGTCCCCGGGGCCTGGCCTGTGCCCACACTCGTGGGAGCAGTGGTGAGGGATAAAAAGCATGAGGAGGATGGAGAGGCCGAGAGGCCAACCATGAGAGGAAGCAGGGAGGAGGATGGGGCGAGGCTGAGGCTGCACGGCAAAGCCACCCTAAGGGGGCCTGGGAGAGAGAACCAGAGAGGGGACGAGCTAGACACAGATGGACGGAGAGGGGCAGGGAGGGAGGCCAGTGGTGACCCCGGGAGGGCCTGGGGCCTTGGAGCTGGGCGTCCAAGTTTGGAAGAAAATCCAATACAAGAGAAGGCAGGAAGGTTGGGGGCCTCAGGAGGGGCCCTCAAGAGTGGCGAGCAGGTTGCCAGTGTTACATGGGTGAGGAAGAGGCCCCGGGGCTCCCTGAGCCTTCCCGGTCCCTATATTTACTCAGCGAGAAAGTCCTGAGCTGATTCTGTGGCTCGCTCTGTGTTGGCATTGAGGAGAGAGAAGGCAAAAGTGAATTTAAGGATTTCTGTGTTGCACAGTGCCAGGCAGGAGCATGCCGTCGTGGTCCGTCTGAACGGTCTTCTTGGAAGTGTCGAGTCCCCAGCTTGTGCAGCCTTCCAGGTCGGCCCTAGATGATAAGGCACAAAGATGTCACTTAGTTAACCGCTCTCGGACTGGGAAGTGGACTCAGGGGTCTGGGAAGGCTTCCTGGAGGGGGAGGGACTGAGCTGGCAGGCACCTGGCTGTAGCCAGCTGTAAAGGTAAGAATGGCCTTCCGGGAGGAGGACAAGCTTGCACAGTGGCATGGGGCCGAGAAGCAGTCAGTGTGCCTAGAAATGGGCAGACGGTGATGGAGGGAGGTGAGCCAGAAAGGTGGAATCTAGGGGGGCCGCTGGCAGCTGAGTAGCTCACAGACCTTCCAAAGCCGGCAGCGCTGCTCTGCTTCTGCCCTGCTGAGCCCAAACTGCCCCGCCACTTACTCTGCCTCGGTGTTGCCTCATCCCCTGGTCGGAAATACCCACCTTGGCCTCAGTCCTCTCCAGGGCGGGTGCTGTCACCTCCATGTGTCTGGAAATGGAGGCCCAGAGGAGGGGCAGCTTTGGCAGGCTGTCGGGGGTGTGGGAGCAGTGGTCAGCGCCCCTGTCCATGGCTGCATCGCTTCTCAGTCCTCTCCCCTCCCTGGCTGGCTTTCCAACTGCCTCCCTCCTTTTATCCGCACCAAAAAGGCCAGCTTTGAAACGGGCTTCTGCCTGCTTTCATCTCCTTCGCGGGCCCCTTCCCTGGGGCTCCACAGATGCTGAGCTTCAGGAGCTTGAGACAAGTCCAATTTAACACCACAAACATTTACACAACTCCCCGTCCTCTGTGTGGCCCTGAGCCAGGCCCAGGGATGCCAGGATAATTCCGCCAAGGACAGAACTGGGCTGAGAATCCCAGACTGGGAACAGATGCGAGGACCCAAAGGGGTCCCCGTGAGCCGTGTGTGCTGCAGAGCCTGGCGTGCCCCAGCTCCAGCTTCTAAGGGGCACTTGGTGGTCCATGGAGTGGGGAGGCAGATAATAAGACAGGAGCTCAGCCCATCTGGAGCTCGCCTTCTCTGGGAGGAGACAGTCAGCAAATGGTTAGACATTGACAAGAGCGAGGAAGAAAACAGAGGAAAGGGGGCACAGGGCACCTTGGAGTGAATGATCAAGGACAGAAGAAATGAGCTGAGATCGGAGCAGAGCCAGCCAGGCAGCGGTGTGGAGGAGGGCATTCCAGCTAGAAGAAGCAGAAAGTGCAACAGCCCTGTGGCCGGCAGGAAGAAAGCTGGTTTGTTCCTGGACATGAAGTAAAGTAAGATCCTGGAAGATGTCACCTGCCACAGTTCACAGGGCACAGTGGGTACCTGGAAAGGACAGAAATGGACTGTGCAGTGACTTTCCAGGGCCTTTACCCCGGGAGAGTTCGAGGTGCCTCCTATTGCTGCATTTACCACTCAGGAAGTATATTGAGAGTCAGAGAGGGGACGTGGCTTGCCTGAGGCCATCTGATCCAAGGGGCCGATCTGGGATCTCACTCACAGCTTCCTGAATCCAGCTCCCTGCTATTTCCCTCTCCTTGTTTGTTGGTGGCTCATGAATCAGTCAGCGTTTCATTGCTGGGACAAAATATCTGACATCAACAGTTTAAGAGAAGAGGTTTGTTTGGTTCATGGTTTCAGAGGCTTCAGTCCGGGATCTGCTGGCTCCGTTACTTTGGGGTCAACGCAAGGCAGGAACATCACGGTGCAAGAGTGGGCGGAGGGGGAGCTGCTCACCTGGTGGCAGCCAGAAGCAGAGAGAAGAGGAGGTTAGGTACCAGCAGTACCCTTTAAAGTTGTCCTCAAGGGCCTCTTTCTTCCAACGGGGCCGCCCCTCCTGATAGCCTATCAGATGAATCCTTTGACGAAGTCGGATCCTTCATGACCCGGTCCCCTCTCTTGGCCCTGCCTCTGTATCTGGGACCAAGCCTTTAGCACAGGAGCCTTCAGGAGAAACTTCAGACCCAAACCATAACAATGCAGCTCCGTATTTGTGCTTTGCCTGCTTTGTGCGAGGGCCACAGACGTGGGCCAGGGGGAGGCGGGGCCTTTTCTGAGCAAATCCTGTGACAGTCCTCATCTGGGCTGGGACAGGCAGTTGGGGAGCTCCAAGGAGAAGCAAGAGCTGTGCAGGACCCTGAATGCCAGGCAAGGAAGTGGAACTTCATCCCACAGACAGGAGAAAGCGTAGGTGCTCCGGAAGGAAGGAGGAGAGGTCTCAGATGACTGAAGCAGGTGACCCTGCCGACGGACCGGCCCTTACGAGCCCAGCCCTGTTCCTAGCAGCCCTGGTCCCACCCTGAGCCACCTTTAAAGATCAAAAGCAGCAACTCCATGCTGGACCAGAGGGTGTGATCATTTCCACCTGACCTTTCACAGTGGGGTATAGCAGAAAGTGCATGGACTTTGGCTTCCCAGAAAACCTGGGCTCAGTTCCCAACTCAGGTACAGAATTTTGAGCAAACCATATTGTGCCTCTTTGAGTGTCAGTTTCCCCATCTGTAAAATGGGCCTTGTATAGTTCCTGCCTCCTTTGAATGTGTTAAAGGTTTATCATGTACCATGTTCTGCGCTCTGAAGTGCCAGGGTTGGAGGGAGGAGCCTGTGCTTAGCACATAGTAGGCCTTCAGGAAGCACACGCTACTGTTTTCCTGGGTGTCTGGACATCCATTTTTCTCCATTCTGCAAGAAGGACCAACTGCATACACCTCTCCCAGCATTGTGTGTGGCCTTCTGAGTATGTACCTTAAAGGGACTAAAGGACAGAGTCATAGGAAGGGTGCCGTGAGCAGAAAGAGGGGGTGAGCGCAGGCAGCCCGCTTTGCATGGGAAGAGATTTCCACCCCACTCGGCCCGGGCAAGCTGCCCGCTTGGTTCGGGTTCTCTGCCTCACACAGGAAGCTGCTTTTGTGTTTGTTGTGGCCATGTGTTACGCACGCAGTAATTTATTCAGGAAAAAGCCACACCCCACACAAGCCAGGCAGTGGTGCCCAACCGGTTTCCCCTGGCCTTGACATCCGCAGTGCTCCATGCTGTCCCCAGTGCACGGGATGCAGCGGGTGGACCTGGGCAGGCCCTTGGCAGTCTTGGGCTTGGGACTCTAGATAACATAGGCTGGGAACTTGGCTCTGCTACTGTCTAGTCTTTTGTGACCCAGCGTAAACTACCTGGCTTCCCTGAGCCTCGGTTTCCTTGCCTGTAAAGTGGGAAGGGTGAGAGGGATGATCTGAGGAGTTCGTGGAGGTACAACCCTTTCACAGGGCTCCCCTGGGAAAAACGGGGGCTGGGCTGGCCCCGTGGCCAGTGCTTGGTTTGCTGCTTCACAGTAGGCCTGGGAGGGGGGTACTACTGTCAGTGAAGAACAGAGGGATTAGGTGACGTGCCCAAGGTCACACAGCTGCGTTCCAACTCTAGGCAGATGGCATCAGAGCAAACCTTCCAGCCCCCAGTCTCCCTTGCCCATGGGCAGGTACACATGCATGCTTACACACGAGCACACACACACACACACACACACACACACACACACACACACACACAGAGTATTCTTACACTGTTCCCACCCACCCACACCTGCTCTGTCTCCCTGGCTAAAGAGATGAGAAGCCAGAGTGCATGCTCCAAGAAGGACCTCCCAGGCCACCGCTGCCTCCTGTCCTGAGGCCGCTGGCGAAGCTCCAACACCCCTACACTGTGCACTCCCCCCCAATCCTCCCTCTCACTCCCCCTCGCAGGCCACACACTGGGTTGGGGGGACTCCTACTCCCTCTCTGCCAGACATTTCTGAATCATAATTAGAACCACAATAGTTCCCATTGGCGGAGTAATTTTCCTGGAACTCAGCAAGGCACCTCGTATGCGTGTCATCCTTCCAACAACACCGGGGTAGGATTAACATCTGTTTTGCAGAAAATTAAGGCTCCAAGACAGAAATGACTTGTCAGGGGGCCGCAGGGACCTGGCTTCAGACCCAGGGTGGAGCAGCTGCCTCTTGAGCCTTTGCTCCTCCAACTGCAACACGCTGTGCTGTACGCAACAGACACACACACAAATCCCACTCGCATATTCACATCATACGAGGTCCAACAACACCAGCCAGGCCCACAGCCCACGGAGTACCTGCAACCTGAGCTTGCCCCACTCGTGACTGCCAGGTCCTTGCTGCACACCAAGCCCTTCCCATCATCCCTCCTCCCACTCACTCTTTGGCTTCTTGAGCTGGAACAAAATCACACCCAGGCTTAGCCAGCCAGCCACACTGACCTGCAGCCCACGTCTTTAACTGGTTCGACTGTCCCTGCCCACCCCAGTGGCCTCAGGAACAGCTGCCTTCAGTCAGGTTCCAGCCCCTCTCTGTTCTAGGAGAGGAGAGAGAAGCTGGGGGAAGGAGAGGGGAGGCCTGAGCGGGGAGGGGAGCACAGCACCCAGAAGGCCTGAGCCACTGGTTCTGCCTCCTTTGGACCCAGACATCTGCAAGGGCCAGGCTAGGAGCAAAAGAGAGCTGAGGCTCAGTGCACTGCGGCTTTGGATGGTTCAACAAGCTAGCAAGATACAGAGCCCGCAAACTGGGCCCAAATTCCAATTTTTCAGGAGTTGCTGGGCAACCCCAGGTAAGGTCATCGCTAGCCATGAGACACCTTTGTGTGAATAAGGCCCCGTGGGAAAAGATCCTCCCTGCACCAGGACACACGGCTGGGCTGGCTGAACTCACCTCCTGTGCCCCTTCAGTCTGGTACCTTTGTGTGCTCAGCAGCCCTGAGCTTGGCAAGATTCCTCTCTGAGCCTCTGTGTCTTCATCGGCCCCACAGGGCCCTTGCCTGTCTGCTATGCTCCCATACACTGAGGCCTACCAAGGAGAAGCCTTGATTGTTTGGGCATGAAGGGATGAGTGAGGGCCAGCCCGGGAACCTGTGTCCTGCCAACTGTAAAGTGCATGCTACGGGGAGGAATGATTAAGTGAGTCCTGGACTGGGCAGGTGCAGGAGGCTCATGTGTGGCCTCTAGCAGTCTGAGGACAGGAGGGATCATTAACTGAAGATTCAGAGATTTGGTTTGCTATGCCACTAAGCCCCTGTGCACAACCCTTTACAGTTTGCCCCCTGCCTCCCTCCCCTACAACAGTGAATATGAAAAGAATAGAGGCTGTCGCCAATCCAGGGTGGAGGCCTGAGCTGGCAAGGGACTTGTCCAAGGTCACACAGGTACAGTAAGAGGCCGAGTGAGGATTCAGCCCCACCTGACTGCTTTCAGATCTGTGCAGCTGTCATTATTCCCATTGAAGAGATGGAGAAACTGAGGCCCAGAGAGTTTTGGGCACTCAGCCAAGGACCCTCTGAAGGTCATTTCAAGGTTTGGGGCTTTTAGCAGGTAGTGTCTCTGGTCTCCATCTGCCCTGGCCTCAGTTTCTCTCTCTGGGGTTTGGAGGAAGAGCTCCTCTCCTCCTGCCTGGGGGAGGGACTGTGGCCAGGCTGATCCCTCCCCACTGGGCTGCTTTGTCCTGGCAGCACAAAGAGCCTTTGCCTGGCATTCGAGGGCCTTTGTGTGCCCGAAGCCCGCTGCGCCCCCGCCCGCGTTATCAGCACGGGGAAGCAGCGGCCTGCGCTGGCGGGGCCTCTCTGGGCCGCTGCCGCCCGAGACATGTGTTGGACACGGGCCTTTCAGGCCTGCAGCCGCTGCACAAAAACCTGGGTAGAAGGCGGAACAAAGGGCTTTTTCACGCGGCAACTGAAAAGCCGCAGATTAGCTTGTACGTGCTGTGTACTTCACAGGCGGGAGGAGCTGCCAGCAAAGACCAGACCCCTCTCCATGGAACCCCGGGCCCTATTCCTGGTCAGGGTCTTGGATAAGCCTCCTCTAGTCCACAGC